AGGTTTTACTTTTCCACCAGTGCAGACTGATTTTATTTTGTTTTTTTTTGAGACATTAGAAAATTTCCAGCCTCTAAGCTATACCAGCAACTGCAAGGATCCGTGAGGACTAATGTAACTATGTGCTCCAAACAGCCTACATAGCTCTTTTTTTCTCCATTTGGTTGACATCCATGAACACATTTAAGTTTCAGAAAGTCTTGAAGTAAGCATTACAGTTGTATTTGACCAATGGATTGCATGGACTGCTAACCATCTGCAAGTGATGAGAACTTTTTGGTACAGACAGCCCAAGCACTGTAAGGTTGACAGTTTGACCCTCCAAAGAATGTTCACACTGACTTAAAAATCACAAGACTGGGAAATACAGGGGAAAGCATTTCAAAGTTTTATTTTATAAGTCATATTGTCTTCTGATCAAATACACCCATCTTTATAAATCAGTTTTTCCCCTTCCATCCTTCCCTTCACATTTATAGATCCCTTGTAAAGTAGGTTTGTGAAACTTAGGGTCTTGGAGTATTTCTGAAGAACTTGTAACGGAGAGGTGAAGTATTGAATCAGCAAGGCTGTTTCAAGAAGGTTTTTGCATTGTTTGAACAGCTCCAAGACTTGCTTACTTGGCTCCCTTGCAAAAAACTTGATTTTTGCAATTTTGATTTTTAACATTTTCTGGGGTTACCAGTAGATATTACATCTTGTGTCCAAGTCTGTGAAAATCTCTGACCCTTACTTAAATAAACACTTAACAAAAATATACATTGCATACTTTGCAGTGGAGGGATCCCATGGTTAGATGACAGAGCCACCCTATGAACGGGGACTCACCATGCATTCCCAAGGGACACATCTTACATATTAAAATACAAGGAAAACAAGAACATGTCAAGAATAGTGGTCTGTGTATTTCAAAGGTAACAAGGTATGCCAAGAAAAACATTGTAGTCGTGCTTCCAGCTTAAAGCAACATTTGAGAAGCATTTTAAACAGCTTTCTACTTCAGTTGCAGTTTGGTGCCAGTGTGGGTTTTCAGTCGTACAGGACTATATTAAAAAAAAAAGATAAATAAAATCTACACACAACATAGAAAATACAGAATTAAGAAAAAACATTTCTAACGTTGGAACCTGTTTGTCATCCAGTCCTAAAAGACATCAAGAATAGGATGTCTTGAAAGAGAGAGAAAGAAGAATGTCCTAGGAAACAGTTTAAAAACCCAGAACATCTATATTCATAGAATCACAGAATCATAGAATAGCTAGGGTTGGAAAGAACCTTTAAGATCATCCAGTTCCAACCCCTGCCATGTCACCCTGCCACACTAAACCATGTCACCCAAGGCTCTGTCCAACCTGGCCTTGAACACTGCCAGGGATTTTACCACTTCTCTGAGCAACCCATTCCAGTGCATCACCACCCTCACAATAAAGAACTTCTTCCATATGTCTAACCTGAACTTCCCCTGTTTAAGTTTGAACCCATTACTCCTTGTCCTATCACTACAGTCCCTAATGAGGGATCCCTTCCAGCATGCTTGTAGGCCCCCTTCAGATACTGGAAGGCTCCTGTGAGGTTTCCATGCAGCCTTCTCTTCTCCAGGCTGAACAGCCCCAACTTACTCAGCTTGTCTTTGTATTGGAGGTTCTCCAGCCCCCTGATCATCCTCATGGCCCTCCTGTGGGCTTCCTCTAAGCCTGCATCTACAATCCAACATCTACATTGCATGTATTTATATGCAATGATAGATAATGTTATAATGTTATTTATCAAACTAGTATTGGTTGAAAACCTAAAAAAGAAATTAGCCTTTCTTGCAGTAGCAATAGCTAAACAGTAAACTGGTGATGAAAAGCCTTGTTTTGGTTACCTGAGATCAGTCATGTCAGTCTTAGCTGCAGTAGGAATACACTGTCTCTTTAACATTACACAGCAGTTTCTGCTGGCTACATACTATATAAAATTTGTTCTGCTGCATATTGTTAGTTGGATCAATTCTTAACAGAATAAGAACGGTGCAGTTGGAAAAAAAATCAAAATAAATGTTTTTTTCAGACCACACTGTTATGGATAATCAGTGAAAACTGCATGAATGGTAAGGGAATGGGCATGAAGAGTATAAGGAACAGCAGTAATGCTTATCTGGCTTTAGATGAGATCTGGCAAAAGGTGACGTCAAGAAAACATATCTGATTTGGATGGGAATGAGCTACAAACCAGCCAAACTGAGTCGTGCTCAGTAAGGAATATAAAGGTTTGTGTTTCTGATCAGTTGCGTTGCCTTCTGTCCCTGTTCTAAAGAGCATAGCAACGCCTGGTGCCTCTACATGGTTGCCTGCTTAGGCCATTACCTGAGCATCTGTTTTGTTTTGCTGGATTTTGAACAGAACTATAGAAAGTGAATCTGTATAAATCAGAAGAGTAGCCTAGCCCAGCTGTAAAGCAGGAAGGGAAGGAGGCTGTTACTGTTCCTGTGTAATGTGCTGTCCACCCTGGCCCTCTTGACCCCTCAGTTTTTCTTCTCTTTCCCCTCTGCCTGCATTTATATTATGGCAGCACGTTCTGTTTCTTTAGCTCTCTGCTTGTGATAGTTCAAGCTACAAAACTGAAAGTTATTCTGTGCAGTTATTTCTCTATACTTCCAGAGATTAGAGGAATGTGCCTTTGGGTTTCAGACTGTGACATTTCTGACAGGCTGGGAAACATGGGTTAGAGTTGTGTGTTCAGCACCAGTGGTGCAGGAAGCCTAGGACACTCTAGACCAGCCAGCTCCATTAGAATAAAACTACATTGTCCTATCTCCACCAATTTGCTGTTTTGTTGGTGGTTTTGGTTTGGTTTTTTTTTCTGTGTGCTAGGCAAAACAATCAAACCAAAGCTTTGGAAGAGGGCAGAAAGTGGAATTTCTAGGAGTTTTATAACCAGACTAAAACTTCCTGAAAAAAAAAAAGAGTTAAACACATTTCTGGAAATTATTTAGCTCTTAAAACAATAATATCACATTTTGTCGTCCTTCCTCTGAAAAGCATCTGAAATTTCTTAAGCTGCCTGATGGAAGGCACTGAAAGACTAAGATCCTGTACACTGCTATGTCAGGGAAAAATGTAGCTACCCTTTAAAGATGTATTTCATCATACCTTTCATATTTCTAGGCTGCTTTCTGCACGGGGTATTTGTCAGTTCCATCAATCTTCAGAAACCAAAAATCCCAAACAACCCCAAAGAAAGACAGCTGAGATAGTTTAAAAACATTTTATTTGAGAAATAATGTGTGAATAATATAAAGACTGTCAGATTAATGCAGTATAGGATGCATTTTAGCAGCTGACATTCTTATTTATCTTTTTAAAATAAGAAAACAAAATTTAATCACCATTCTCTCTGAGCATCTGGGAAAATGTGCGTACCAGCCATGAGCAGTTGCAGTTCCCTTCCTCTGGTAGTCACACTGGTAGGAATATTTACATGTTTTATGACCTGATTGCCTTCTTCATGCAATACAATTCACTACCACAGCTGAGGATAAATACTGCATATATCATATATCTAGGAAAATTAAAGTAGATATTCTTCAAGCTGGTGAATTTATCTGTTTAATAAACTTGGTTCACAGCTTCCAAGAGCTCTAGCCAGCCATTAATAACATAATGTATGTTAGCCCATAGGGACCTGGTAGCAGAGCAATTAGGACATCTGGCTGCAGAGCTGGAGTCATGAGCACAAGCTGTGCTCCATATGTGTGCTGGCAGTGGTTCCCAAGAGATCCTGCTTTGAATGAAGGCTTAGTCACTCAGGCTGGAAAGAATAAGGTGGGCAGGGGTGATGGCAAAAGGCTCATGCCCATCCTTGGTTTTTTTCTGCAGAAGTGGGCATGCTTTTAACTCTATTTTCCCAGGTCCCACCCCAAGACTGAGGGAAATGGTGAATGTGTTGTAGGTACGTATCATTGCCCTCTTATGGATGGAGTCAGTGGTGATTGGGAATATTCTCAGTGCCTGCCAGCATGGTGTGTGGCATGCTTCAGATTTTAAAAGGCCTCTGTGCCTTCTAAAATTGTGGCAGCCTTAGCTTTCACAGCAGTAAGTTGTAAGAGCAATATGTGCTGTTGCTCTGCCACTCTGGAAGGGAGACAAGTACACCATAAATACATTATTTACACATTTATTATAACACAGTGGTCCAAACAGACCCAAATCTTTGTCTTGCTGAAGATGGCCTCCTGGTACCTCCCTGTTTAAATGCACAGGGTGTCCTGAAAGCACGTTATGAAAGCAAAATACATTAGGAAAATGGTATTATTTTCAAGCAAACTAAATAACAGTATCAAATCTGGTGGGGTAGCACTGTGCAGTCAATTGAAACCACAACTTAATAACTTCTATGTTAAGGGAGAGAGAGAGTATAGTATCCTTGGCTGACAGTAAACTTCCCTGCCTATATTTTTGGGCTCTTGATGTTCTGGTGTCTGTGCTGGATCAGGCCTTGGCAACCAATCCTTGCAATAAGCTGTTCCTGCTTTTCTCTGAACCTGTGTACCACTACCTAAGATGCGATAGTCACGGGCAGTTATATGCTATAACTCCCAGTCTAGTGAGTTACTGATGCTTAAACAGGGGAGATCCTTCTGCTGTCCCCTGTTCTGTTCCTCTCTCATCAGCCTGCATAGTTCTGGCTGTCCTGTCCACTATCTTTAAGACACATCTAACTGTACACTGACCTGACTCAACTTGACAGCACTAAAATAAACCCAAACAAAAGTATGTATTATTGCCACTTAGTAAGTTGAATTGGCTTTATTGTACAGACAACATCAGAAGTTACACAAGAGACAAGCAGAAGCAGTGTGGTTGGGAATGGAGATATAGGCAAGGAAGAGGGAGAATGACCATTGCATCCTAAGGCAACCAGCTGTTAAATGTCCTCTGCTACACATCTGGTTATACTCAAAGCATCTCAGCATGTCTCTTTCTCACTCACCAGGCTTCTTTATGCTATGTGTTTGCAGTAACAGTGGTCTGCTATTGCCATGTTACAGGAGAAGCTGCAGAGATAATTCAGTGTGTCTCGTGGTGCTATGCAGATGAGATGCAACATGGCAAGGAACAGAGGTGTCACAAACCAGAGGTGTCCGGATCGCTGGCCATTCCTCCTTACCAGAAGGTGCAAGTAATCTTTCTTACTCCCTCTTTATTCCTACCTCTATATGGTAACTGTACTGCTGCTTATGAGCATACAGGGGCTTTTGACATTGCATTTCAAATGCAGAGGTTTGGTATCCTTCTTCTGTCTTTTAATCCATGAACTGTTGTAAGCAAGCTGCTAACTAGGGAGTAAAACGGAAATTGCCTTCCATTTGTTGCTGCCCTGCTGTAGTCTGACTAGTTAGCTGCCAGAATCTTCTAATTTCCAAGATAAATGTGCTAGCACTTGAATTTCAAAGTGCAAATCTATGTTTAGCACATTCATATCCAGGACTGCTTCTGATTGGAGTTTTTATTAAATTTTTCTTTGTAGTCAGGGTTGCTAACATGAAAATACATTATGCCCTTTGAAAGCCTCAAGCTCGCGTGCACCAAAGATTAGCTTGTTTCTATGTGATAATCACATGACACTTTAAAGTCACTGTGCAGACTGTATATGCAGACTCAGGAATATGTTTAAAAGCAGTGTAATCAGCTTTCAGTCTGATCTTTCACTTTGCATGCATTTAGATTAAGCCAGAGAGATATATTCTACTTCCAGGTCTTGCTGATATCTCTTTAACTACCCCTTTGTAAAGTCTTTTAGTAGCATGCTACAAAGGCAGAAACCAGTTCATCACCTTGAAAATAAAGTAACGCACTGGACCTGAAAGCTTCTGAATGGTGACATATTAAATATGCTTTATATTAGTCCCAAATATTTTTTTATTGGCTGCATTTTACTCAGTGAACGTAAACTCTTCCGCTTGTGCAGTCTGCGAGGACAGACTGCACTTTCCTTGTTCATATTCCATGAGCATGTTTGCAGTATGGAATACTTGGTATCCACAATAGAAGCTGTGCTATTTAGCTGTGATTAGTTACTTAAGTCATTTGTTATTATTTCCATTACCTAATTAGGGGAGAAGAATTTATAATTAGCAGCATGAGTTTGGCTTTCTGAATAAGGCATTAATTTGCGGAATGTGATTTAACAGAGAAGTAAAATTAAGAGATTTTCCCTTTTCTTAATCATACAGGTAATGTCCATAGAATCAATCCTAGAAAATTAAGTTACGCCTAATACTTTAGGAAGGGAGTATATTATTTTTAAACACTGTATTCTATTTAAAAAGGAACACAACTGTGTTCTTAATAACAACTATGAGAGCTACAGTTTGGTTTATGTCGGTCTATTTACAATATGTGTTTTGTGTCTATTACGTACTTAGATGTCTTTGATCTGTGGGCTGTGGCTACCCTAGTCACCCTTCAGTTTGAACCTGTAATCAGTGATATAGCTGTAGGTAAAGGCTAAAGGTTTGGTACAGCGTCCTAGTTAAAGCCACTCTTTGCCGTTAAGGCAGCTTTCCTGTTCTACTTATGTGGTAGGTACATGTGCTGAAATGAATTGGGAATTTTGATAGTTAAGAGCCAGAAGCTTATTCCTACTTCCACATTTGGTAGGACTGTAAGTCTTCATATTTAACATTTAATGTTAAAGTCAGGGTAATGTTGCAAGTCAGGACTAGTTAAAGCCCCAACTTCTGCTGAATCTATATGGGAATATTATACTCTGGTTAGGAGTACTATCCTTAAATCTGGGCAAATCAGTGTCAATCATGCAGTTTAAAAGTAAGCTCAGGCTTCATTGTTGGGTTGATTTCAGTAAGTATAGTCTCTGGCAACTCTTGTTGCCAGATAAATCTGTATTTGGCTTTCAAATTGTATTTTGAACTTTGGGCAGTAGAAATGAGGTACTGAGATTGGACTCAAAAGTGACAGGGCATCTAGCCTCTTGCTGGTCAGTCAAGGGCCAGTCTTCACCTCTGATGGGCTTATACAGAAATGGTAAGTAAGATGTTGAGATGAATTATCTGCAGGGAGTACTTGTTACACAGAGAGGCTAGTGTGGTCTGGCTTCCAATTCAGATGGCTGCATTAGATACCTACTGCTAGATGGGATGAATCAGATCTTTTTTTGCATGTTGACAGTAACATTGATGAGGATCAATTGCCTGAATTTTCAGCACAGTGGTAGCAATCTGGTACTATTGTGGAATTTACTCAGATTATTTTGATCACCGGTTGCTCTCTTTCTTTGTTAGTTATTTTGAGCAACATTTTGAATCCTTTTGACAAATATGGAAATACTGTGAGAATGGGAAAGCTGGAGCTAATGCAGGTGAGTTCATTCCAGCTTTGTTCAGGCTTGATCTAATTCTGAGGGAAGTGCCTTTCCACAAGATGCTGGGGGGAGACACCCCAGGTTCTGTAGTTCAGCCAGTCTGGCTATTTTGGTTGGAAAATTTTATTTCTTTTATACTTCTATTCAAGACAACTTTATTCTTGCTTTTTCTTTCTAAGACATGTACATATTCATCAGGTTCCTATACATTTGGTAGAGTTTTCCCAGTAAGTTCAGTGAGTGTGATAATAGTCAATAAGCAATGCCTATCATGCCTTTCCTCTACAAACTCTCTGAAGTCAGCCACCTCCCCCTTATACAGAAGAGGAAAGTACAGTTATGAAGGAACTGGATCTTGCTTCTCTGAGGGTTAGGCTTGGCTCAGAAATCATTAATCTGCAAGCTCTGGCTCAGGCAGGCATTTTCCTTGCTCTTTCATCCTCCTTTCCCTTCCTCCTCTTGGCTGCTTGTCCTTGTCTGGTTCTTCCTCCATCGCGCTAGCACAGTTGTGAGTAGGAGCACAGAATAAGTTGGGCTTAGGAACCATTCCAGATAAAAAATTATTATTATATTGGAGGTACAGATTATATTCCTTCTGCAAGTAATAGAGGTGCCAACAAGGAGAGATGCCATGCTTGACCTTGTGCTCACCAACAGGGAAGGGCTGGTTGGAAATGTGATGCTCCAGGGCAGCTTCGGTTGCAGCGATCATGAGGTGGTTGAGTTTGAAATCCTCAGGACAGTGTGAAAAGTGTGCAGCAAGCTCACTGCCCTGGACTGCAAGAGAGCAGACTTTGGCCTCTTCAGGAACCTGCTTAGTAAGGTTCCATGGGATATGGCCCTAGAGGACAGGGGGGCCCAAGACTGTTGGGTGATATTCAAGGATCACCTGCTACAAGCTCAGGAGTGTTGCATCCCAACTAGAAGGAAGTGCAGCAGGAGGGCCAGGAGACCTCCTTGGATGGATAAGGAGCTGCTGAGGAAAATTCAAATGAAAAAAGAGTTTTATAGAAAGTGGAAGCAAGGACAGGCGGCCTGGGAAGAGTACAGGGATGTTGTCCGGGAAGCTAGGGACCAGGTTAGGAAAGCTAAGGCCCAGTTAGAATTAAACTTGGCTAGGGATATTAAGGATAACAGGAAGGGATTCTATAGGTACATAGCAAATAAAAAACAGACAAAGGACAACGTGGGCCCCCTCAGGAAGCTATCAGGAGAACTGGCTACCCTGGATTTGGAGAAGACTGAGGCTCTGAATGACTTCTTTGCCTCGGTCTTCACTGACAAGTGCTCTGACCGCACCACCCAAGTCTTGGAAGGCAGACACAGGGACTGTGAGAATGAAAACCTTGGGCCCACTGTAGGAGAGTGTCTGGTTCGAGACCATCTTAAAAATCTGAATATGCAAAAGTCCATGGGACCTTTTGAAAACCATCCGTGGGTCCTGAAGGAGCTGGCGAATGAAGTTGCTAAGCCGCTGGCCATCATATGTAAGAAATCATGGCAGTCAGGTGAAGTTCCCAACAACTGGAAAAAGGGAAATATAACCCCCATTTTCAAGAAGGGGAAAATGGATGACCCGGGGAATTACAGACCAGTCAGTCTCACCTCTGTGCCTGGCAAAATCTTGGAGCAGATTCTCCTGGAAGGCATGCTAAGGCACATGAAAAACAACAAGGTGCTTGGTGACAGCCAGCATGGCTTCACTAAGGGGAAATCCTGCCTGACCAATCTGGTGGCCTTCTATGATGGGGCTACAGAACTGATGGACAGGGGTAGAGCAGTTGATGTCATCTACTTGGACTTGCACAAAGCGTTTGACATCAATTTGATGGATGGACCACTGGGTGGATAAAGAACTGGCTGGATGGCCACTGTCCTGGGTTTAGCAGTAGCAGTCATTTTTCTCCTTCTTAGTAACTGGTGCAGTGCTGTGTTTTGACTTTCAGGCTGGGAACAGAGCTGATAACAATGTTTTGGTTTGGCCAAGGGCTTTGTGAGCCTCATGCTCTGCCAGGGAGGAGGGGAAGCCAGAAGGAAGCAGAGGCAGGACACCTGACCCAAACTGACCAAAGAGGTATTCCATACCACAGCACGTCATGCCCAGGATGTAACTGGGAGTTACCCTGAAGGGCTAGGGGACTGCAGGGTTGGAGGAGGTATCGTTCGGTGCTTGGTCGGGCTGGTGAGGGGGGGCGAGTTATCGATCGGCTGATGGTGAGGTGTTGTATTCTCTTCCCTTGTTATTTCCCTTATCATTATTATTATTGGTGGTAGCAGTAGTGATTTGTGTTATACCTTAGCTACTAAACTGTTCTTACCTCAACCCATGGGAGTTGCATTCTTTTCGATTCTCCTCTCCATCCCTCCAGGAGTAGGGGGAGGGCAAGAAGGGGAAGGAATGAGTGCACAAGCTGTCTGGCTGGGGTTAAACCATGACAGTCGCACACAAAGAGTTGTGGTCAATGGATCAATGTCCACCTGGAGACCAGTAACGAGTGGTGTCCCTCAGGGATCGGTGTTAGGACCAGTCTTGTTTAACATCTTTGCTGCTGACATGGACAGTGGGATTGAGTGCGCCCTCAGCAAGTTTGCCGATGACACCAAGCTGTGTGGTTCGGTTGATACGCTAGAGGGAAGGAATGCCATCCAGAGGGACCTTGACACGCTTGTGAGGTGGGCTGATGCCAACCTTATGAAGTTTAACCATGTCAAGTGCAAGGTCCTACACCTGGGTTGGAGCAATCCCAGGCACAGCTACAGGCTGGGCAGAGAAGAGATTCAGAGCAGCCCTGCCGAGAAGGACTTCGGGGTGCTGGTCGATAAGAAAATGAACATGAGCCAGCTTCAGTGAGCACTTGCAGCCCAGAAAGCCAACCGTGTCCTGGGCTGCATCAAAAGGAGCGTGACCAGCAGGTCGAAGGAGGTGATCCTGCCCCTCTGCTCTGCTCTAATGAGACCTCATCTGGAGTATTGGGTGCAGTTCTGGTGTCCCCAACGTAAAAAGGACATGGAACTGTTGGAACAAGTCCAGAGGAGGGCCATGAGGATTATCAGGGGACTGGAGCACCTCCCATATGAAGATAGGCTGAGAAAGTAGGGGCTGTTCACCTGGAGAAGAGAAGGCTGGTGGAGACCTCATAGCACCTTCCAGTATCGAAGGGGGCCTACAGGTGACTCTTCATAGGACTGTAGTGATAGGACAAGGGGTAATGGTTAAAACTTAAACAGGGGAAGTTTAGTTGGATATAAGGAGAAGTTCTTTACCATAAGGTGGTGAGGCACTGGAATAGGTTGCCCAGGGAGTTGTGAATGCTCCATCCCCACAACCAACAAACGGCAGGGGGTTTGGAAGTTGATGATCTTAAGGTCCTCTCCAACCCTAACTATTCTATGATTCTATACTTCAGCTGAATCACTTCCTTAGGAAACTATGTAAGTGTTTGTGCTGGGATGGCACTGTGAGAACCAAGATTGGAGGTGATGTAGGAATGGCTTCAGTTGGCAAAAGCATCATGGTTGCCAAAGCCTTAGTCCTAGGAAGGTGCCCTGAGAGCAAGGGGCAGTGATCAAGTGACCTGATACAGTGTTGGAAATGGACCTGCTTTAACAGGGTATTGGAGTAGGTGAGTTCCAGAGGTCTCTTCCATCCTCAATTAATCTGTGGTTCAATAATTCAAACTTAAATCCTGTTTCAGGCATCCTTTGACTCTGTCACGCTGTTACACGTATTTCTTCAAGAGCACAAAGCTAAGATCAGTTCCGTCCAACACAGATAGATGTCCTCTTACCATCTGGTATGCTTAACGTAATAAAAGCCAGATCACATCTACCCAATCTTTATTAGTAAGAAAACCACTATTGCAACTGTCCTTTATTCTTTTTGGCTTTGTCCTAAAGGATTGCAAATGTGGCACTACATAAAGACTGTTGTATTTTGATTTGTTACAGCTTAATTGTAAATGATGTAAATGAAAGCTAAATGAATGATGTCTAGGTAGAAACGCTAGACAATCCCACACCTGCACCACTCTCAAGATCTCTTTGATACCCATGCTACTGAGCCTATTCTTCCACAGCCAAGACCAAGCAGGCAATGCCTTCTGTGGTGCAGGACTATCCCTGAAAGCCATCTATCACCTTTCAGGATCAGGGCCACTGTGTGTTGGTAGTAGGTTGCACAGCTATATTGAATACATACCTCTGTTTCCCTTTTCCCTGCTGTGATGCTGGTATTGAGAGCAATGTTTGTTTCCAGATGCCCAGCCTCATGCACTAACTGCAGAGGGTGAAAGACAAGGTACTCTCCACTCTTACCTGCTGTAAGGCAGATATTGAATGAAGTGCTAAGTCTGCAGTTCCCACCCATCTGAGGTGTTTTCTCTGGTATTCCAGCTCTGTCAGCCCCTGCTATTTTCCAATGGGATATTCAAAAAGACCACAACATAATGCATAAAGAGATCCAAGGCCAAAGAGGAGCACTGTGTCTAGTGCTCAGTGATGCAGCTCACTTTTACAGCAGCCTGCACAATTTCAATTAAAAAAATAGAGTTTTTAGTATGCATTTAGTATAGGTGGGAGACCTGATTTTAAAGTTTTGCTATGTTTAAATGAGAATCCACTCCAGCTATTCAAATGAAATTGGAATACATCAGTTCCAAGCTGATATAAATGTTTCCAAGTAGGTATTCATAGGAAATGGTGCCAGCAAATACAACTCCACTCATTTGACATCTAAAATGGGATTTGTTGATGGATTCAATGGTGAAGAAGAAATACTTCGCTATACATGAGTTCTGCCATTCTGAGGTAGGTACATAAATTAATTCAGATGAGCTGTACTCCAGAAATGCTTCTTCACTACAGTAAAAAAGGTTGTCTAGACAACTAGCTCAGTTTTACATGTTTATATTGATTGCATCAAAAGATTTGGTGAGATGAATATCATCCCTGATTTACTACAGGTCTCACTTGTGTCCAGGTTTAACTTGGGGATCTGA